AGCATTCCCCTTCGGAAAAAAAAAAAAATGTCTGAATTTCTTCGCCGATATGTGCAGGTTGCATCACGATGTATTGCTTCACCGTCCAGTTGATTGTTGGCAATTAATCAAGCACGAGCCACCATAAAGTTTGACTCTTATAATACTTGAGTGTACAGCGCAACTGTTTATTTCCTTTCCGGAAACGTAGTCAGAACTATTTGAACGCAAACGCAGGTGAAAGCTAGGAACCTAAATATAACAATCTACATGTGATTACGTGAAGCGGAAACTTGTTACCCCTTTTTAAGGACACTGCGGGAACTGTTAAAAAAAACGTTTAAATATATTTTTGTTAAAAGAATTAAAATATCGTACGTAATTCGATTAAAAATTCAGATGTTTCACAACAATTTATTTCGTATATAATTGCTTGTTGATCTTCCTCCCTTCAATTAATAAAAATTCTTGTTTAAAAAGTATTTTTAAACATTACTTTGCATTACTACCGGTCTGTTGATTTATTTATTAAAACAGTATTGAAAGAGCAAACCGAAAACAGACATGAAATAGTCTTTTTAAGCAATTAATGCTACGGTTGCCAATCTCTAATTGAGCCTTTGTATTCAGATTTCAATTTGTGTTTCTGTGTATTGATGTTTAGTACTTTGATGTTATTATCGAGATTGGTCATTAGGCAAAAAGCCTGTACATGTCCCTGGCATATAATGTTCACGACCACAGTTAAGCCGTTTATGTAACAAATTACCAGAAACAACTAGAAATTAAAATAAAATGCATGTTTCTGTTTTTATTACTAAATTAAACTCAATATGTGAAAGGGTAATGCATGCTAAAAGCTTATTCAAAAGATTTTATATTCTGTCTATTAGAGATGTAATTTTTTACTCTATCTGCAGTTTTACACAAAAGTGTGTCCATAATATGCATCACAACAGCAATAACACTGATGAAAGTAACCGAGCGATGAATTAACTATTACTTTAATTAACTTTAAAAAAAAAAAAGTTTATAGAAAAGAAGACATAAGAAGTAAAAACCATGTATTCGTAGAAGGATGTAGAAGAATCGATTGGTGTGCCAGGATCTCCCTCAAAGGTCTCTGCATACCCAATTGTTACACTTGTCTGATGTATTCATTGTTAAAAAAGTGGAAAGCAATACGATACTAGTAAGGTTAAAAATGCAAGAGCTTATTAATTTTTATTTTTAATTAGCACTAGCGCTCTGAAGGGTAATTAAACATCAAAGTAACTTTAACAAGAGGAGTTGTACTTTCCGTTAAAACAACTTTAATACGATATTTTCAAAGTAACGGAATATTACAATATTCAGGAAAGTACCGTAGATTTCACTCATCTAGAATATTTAGTTACCAATCACAGTTGCCAACGTCGGACCGAACTGGTTTACTTTCGCCTTGTAGAGGCATTATTAAATTAAAATAGAGCTGCATTAAAGGAGACGGAAACTATTGGAAGTTTAATTTTCTTACACTTTATAGCTAACAAGTTAAAATTATAGCAGATATGTGAACTTTGAAAATAATGTAAAAAGATTTTAGAAAATCTTAATGGATAAAATCAACAAAAAACGAGACAAGTAAAACACGAGTATATTATAAAACAGAAGAAAAGAAACTCTGTTTCCAAGAAAACCAAACGTATTTAACAATTTTAAGAGTAGTTGCCTGCGGATGAAAGAAACGTAGATACTTTAAATTAAGTTTATAGAACAGACTACGAGTATCGATTCTATTCATTGCTTCTCCGAACAGTTACTTCGATAAAAGGAAATAAACAGATTGTAGTGGGGTGAATCGCTTCGACCCGTTAAGACGTTTAACTTCATTTATTCCAATTGTAAATGTAATTTTCTCCGATCGCAATTGGATCAGTATTGAATAGGATTATGTATTAAGGGCGTATTCCATCGGTGTTCAGCGTCAAGCAACCGTCGTTGCACAGGTTTTGAATAAAACTTCAGTTCAGTTACGCGATGCGGACAATCCGCTTTTACGCTGTGCGTTATCATCGACTTTCAGCTTGCATCGGCGGCCGACAGATTATTGCAGGCCGTTGCAGCCGCGCTCAGTTTTCGCATAAATGTACCTTCCATTTGTAATTGCGCTGTAGCGGTTCGTCGAGAAATGAAATGATTATATCATGTAAATCATACTACGAAAAATTAGAGCTATGAATGATATTCAAAATAAGTTACCTAAAACATTGTACGTTTTATATCAGAATTAGATAAGAAGAAAAATATATTTCATAGTTTGAACCTCTGTCGAATCTTCTTACAAAAATAATAGTGCAATTTTACGACAAAATCCGATATTAAAATTGATGATCTAATAATATGAGACAACGTTATCCCGAGAGAATTTCGTTAAAGCTTCATTGACATTCCGTTAAAATAAGATAGTCAAAGTAGGTGTGGCGCGACACGAGCGACATTTTCTTGCGCGCCTCTCCTTTTAGCACACCAAAAATTACTTTCGTAAGCAGTTTAAAACTCTTCAGCACCTCATTTTAGGACGTCATAATGTTTTTTTTTAATTTATGCATTAAAAATTTTTTCAACGTTTTGAAAAATATGAATATTATGTAATTTCTTTCAACGAAACCTTCGTCAAATATTACAAGTGTTTACATTGCTTTTTGTCGCAACTTAGTCAGCTCGGAATTTAAAAAAAATCCAAGTTACTCCCGCAAAAATGAATCTACCGTCCATTAAGTGCCGTCAAAATCGGTGTAGCAGTTTCGGAGATTACCCGGAACAAACGCTAACTTACGTACGCTACAGATAAAATGTTTAAATTTGTTTTTTCGTCATAAGCAACGCAAATGCATCGTTTTAAGGAAATGTTATTATTTTAAATATTAAACACTGAAACTCTAATTTTATGAACTTTATAGATAGTGCGCATGTTTGATTAATGTTTCTAATCTGGCAGTCTAGGAGAGCTTTTCTCTACTTTGTTCACCGGTTGAACTTAACGATGTTGTTAGTTCGACGCATTTGCACGTTGTTTACAAACTTCGTCGGAACTTACCCTTGCAAATTTATTGTATTATATCGAATATTATAATGATCAGAAAATGAACCGTTTGTTCATAGATTTATGCAAATATTCCTGTCAGTATTCATTGAATTTGATGTAGGAAAATAGGATGTTTAGATGGAATTTATTGGAATGGAACATAACATGAATAAAATAATTATTTAGTATGGTAATTATATGTATACTAGCTGTCCCAGCATGGTTTCATCCGCATGAAATTATAAATACTTTATTTTATTGTTTAAATTTGTCAAATTCTCAATTGCAAATGTTAAACTTACCATTACCATGCTTCCTAGATATTAACAACATGTAATTTATGGTCCCTATCTTACAAGAAGTCTTTTTCTCAATTTACTTACCCTCTAACTTTAATAGCGTGAAAATATATAGCCTAAAGCGTGGCGTAAGTGTAGGACTTTTTATTAAAGAAAGAATTATTCAAAAATTTGCGGTGATTGCAGACATCCTAAGCCACGAAGTAGTATATTTATTACATTAATATAGAAGTATAGATAGGTTAAAAATAAAACATGATTTATTCTGACAATACTTTTTCATGCAAATTGTCCAAAGCGGCTTTCGTTTATGGTTTTATTGTTAACTTGATTGTTGTTAACATAGTTGTAATGAGAGACAAATATTTCACAATGTGAAATCGTAGCGCTAGCTAACTGTAATCGTAGCTAGGCGGTGGCTACGTGCTTCAATACGTCTACGCGGTGGCTACGAAAAAACGTTTATAAAGGTGTGTAAATGAATATCTAAATAATGATTTTAATAACTCAAAATCCTCGTTCGTTTAATTTTTTTTAAATTCCATTGATTATGTTTCATTATGAATTATGGTCGATTGTCGATCATTGGACGAATATTTGAGATGTTAAACCGTCAGAAATTTGAGTTTGTCATTATTTAACTTTCTGAGTTAAGTTTTATACGAACTAAACGTTTAGTTAGAATAAAAAACAAATTCTGAATTTTACTATAATTCGATACATCGTACTTTAAAAAATACTTACTAATATCTGTACTCGTATGTACATATTACACTTTGTAATAATAAAACCGATGGATGTTTCAATTTGTCAATGCATTTCAAAAGCATTGAAATCGCAAAATTAACAGCGGGCATTGTCCATTCCGCGGTTAATGGATGTTAATTGTCATAATAAGCATTGAAATGCGAACGAAGTGCCACTGAAATGCGAAAATAGTTGTAATATTCGACTATAGAATCTCTTTATAGATTGTTATCTATCTATCTTATCTACAATACATATATTAAAATTGGAGTGTCTGTTTGTAATATTAAAAGAAAAATTCCTGATTTCGGGAAGATGACGAAAATGCGCTGCTGATAACGAAAATCGCATTTAAAAAAAATTGTTTGTCTGTCTGTTTGTCCGCAAGCCGCGTTTGTTCCGGGAAATCCCCAAAACGACTGGGTACGGGACACGGAAGGGTAACGGACATAGACGGGCATATTATAGACTACTATCTTAATATTGCATGGACGAAATCGCGGGCAACAGCTACTTTTTAAAAATAAGAACGTTAATGTTGTCTTTAGTTATTTTTAGTTGAGCGGCATTTGAACCTTTGTACATTCATGTATTGAAGCGACTCCTTAGAAAACGGATAAGAAGCTTATTCTCCTTCTAGAGTATTAAGGAAAATACACGTGAGAAAATTCTCACATATAGTTTACGTAAAACTTCAGACCACTGAAAATGGAACGCGTTTGATGGTTTTATTCACTGGAAATATAAAATGTAATATAAAGAACCGCAATATTTCAAGAAATTTATAAGTGATTCCCTCTTTTACCGTCTGAGGAAGGGTTCTAGCGGAAAATCGAATATCAACTCGTAAAATAAACCTAAAAGGAGTAATATTAGTAGTTGCTTTAGTGAGCTTGTGATTAAGAAATCTTAACGTCGAGATTTGCCGCTATTCAATTTTCTTTCAATTTCAATTTGAGAAAATACATTTTTATTTATACTTTTAAGCTTTCGTCTAACGTTGTGTGAAAAATGTTATTTTTAATTTAAACGCGATATTTATTTATTTATTAATGTGTTGCAATGCCAAAGTCTAAATTGAATAAGTTTCATAAGTAACGAAAGAAACGTTTTAAATATTTCAGTATTTTCATACTATTTATGTCTTCGGCATAAGAACATTAAATTTTTACATTGATTTCAGAAATAAATAATTTGAATATGTCTCCATGTTTTTTTTTTAATATCTTTGTGCTATTCATGTCTGTCACAGTAAAACGAGTACTCGTATATCGTCTCAAGAAGTAGTTATATAATTCCTTTAAATACTACGTCATTTTTTTAAATACTTAGACGAGAAACATTTCCGTCTTGTTTAAAGCATAGCAGCTAGAGAAACACTTATGTTTGATTTTTTTTTAAATATTGACCAGATATTTTTTAGGGACTTTGGCTCCTTAGGACTTGTTAGTTTCAAAACAAGCTTTATGTATCTGATAACAATTTTTATAGCAGTAATCCACAGATTGTGAATATAAAACGAATAACACAACGATATGATTAAATAAAAACAATTCACTTGGTTGAATATCTAAAGTATCGAAACAGCGTGAATATCGAATATTATCTTCACATGGTAAATTTAATAGATGCTACACTGTATGTCCAATCGACCGTGCCATGAACTCAGCCGGACGGAAGTCGATCTTTATTCATGCGTTTGAATTTCAGAACCTTCATTACCTATACTTTGAGTGTTTAAGGTAGTTTTAGTTAGCTAAAATTTCGGACAAAGGACTTAATTTCAATAAACAATGCCGGCTCGCCTAACTTATTTAAATGTACCTAACGCGAAACAAGCTAATTTTATCAAGTTACCGTAAAAAAAAACCCGTAAAATGAAGAAATTTGGCAATACTGCTACTGAATTTTCATCTATTTATAAAGAGAAAAGATTTGATTGTTTGAATTAAAAGTTCTAAACCGATTCCTAAAATCCCTTCGCCATTGAAAAGCTACATTATCACTGAGTTATGAGTAATCATCACTGAGTAATCACACAAGATGGGGTGCACCACTTGTATTATAAATTCGTAAAGGAGTAAACTTTTATAAACATGTAAGTATGGCGTCGTTATAGTTATAGCTATAACGAGGGCCTTAAGTTTTTCTAGTCCCTACCTAAAACAATCTATTTTTTTTATTCGTTTTTTTGTCGTTATCCCATCTTTAAGTCCGTCAGTTATGGATGTATGACTAACGAAATCTGAAAACTGGCGACTCGATTGCTCGCTTAAAGTCTTGGATAACGTTGGTCAGTACCAGCACATTCAATTTATTCGGCGAGCAGCGTTCGCACACAACACACGTTTTATTAATAATTCCGTGCGAGCGCTGCCGATGCGTATTCCGGGCTATCGCCGGTCGCTAATAGTCAGAATTGGTATTTTAAAAAATGCACAACGATTTTTAATACTTCGATAAATTTATTAAAATACATGTTCCCGTAGAATCAATTATTCTTTTTGCTAAAACGTTCGCGTTTATAATATAGTCCTTAAAAACGATTTTTTAATGACTGTATAATATGGAAAGTATATACAAACTTACGATATGATAAAAAAATCTAACGGTGAAACAAAACATCGTGATGCAAACTGAACCTATCTACGAAGAAATTCAATGATGTGTTTGAAATGTGGGCTACCGTGGTTAACTAAGCCTCATGTTGTGTGCTCAGATCATATTTCCCCATTGAGGAGTCTACCTCAAAGTCTACCCAAGTTAAGGATGTCTAGGCCACCCACGTCAGCCCATTGCCATTTGATTATCTTCACATATATTCTTTGATTTTTCTGCTTATGTGCTGCAGGTTGCATCATAATGTTTTCCTTCACCTTAAAAAGTCTAATTAATGTATTAATGAAAATCGAAAAGACAAATTAGTTAATAATATTGATATCGATCTATACATTTGCTTTACAAAAGTAATTTTTACATACCGCCTTCTTAATTTAATCAAGTATAGAAGTTACAGATGCCTGAGTGGCTTGGTAATTGTAGAGTCGCGAACAAACTGCAATAACACCGAGTTCCAACTTGTTAACAAACTAAAATTAGGTGTCAGCCGAGTAATTCCTGTCAAAGTTTTTTTTTTTATTTTCATTTAACTCGCACCTAACTAACGTAACAAGCATGAAGTTTATTTTTTCATGTAAAATGTTATCTTTATTTTGTAAATTTTCTACCTAATACTTCTTGTACCGTACTAATTAATTCCGAGTCTTGCGTTAAGATATTGGAGGTTAAAATCACCGGTTCCCAAGAACTATAATATCGTAACGCAACTTGTTAACAACACTAATGGGATTCGAACCCACTATTTATAGATCTATAATCTGTACCTTTAACAGAAGGCTTGTGACAGTTAAATAAAAAAAAAGTTCAATTTGTATAGACAAATTAATTAGATGTTTAATTCATATAAAAAAAAAACAATGACTAGATAATACACTTTCAAACATAGAAGTGCAAAGAAAGCGTTGTAAGGAAATTGCAAACAAGTTCCGGCCCCTCGTTATATTCTTCTGGATTAATTTCGTTGCAGGCCCCAAGATAAAAGTAGTTTGCTTCCCAGACGGCTTGAATTCATAACTCAGTGTCAACAAAGACCGCGCTATTGATCCTAGTTAAGAATAGTTGCAGCGGTGAGAATGCGAGATGGGCTGAGCTTTATCTGCATAAGATTTTATTCGTAGAGTAAATACGACGAAAGGGTAACATCTATAAGGTGATCCCATAAGATGTCTTATTCAAAGATATGTTTTCAAATACCTTCCATCATTTGCAAATTATAATCCTATCTAGAAGTAGATAACGTAGTTATAATCTGTTTAAAATTAAACTTTCATATACTTTAAGTTCACATCAATGTATCAAAACCATACATTGTAAGTTTCACCGAGCTACCTTTATTGTGTGGTTAAGCGAGCGTCGCACGAGCTAAATGAGAATGTGTTCTTTCTGAGTGTTGCAGTTTGGTCCGCATGTCTGCTTTAAAAAAGTCTTTTTTATCGTAAAGTATTTAAAGTTACACATTTTAAACGATAAAAATGTTTTATAGTTTTACAACCGACATTTAACATTCAATATTTGCTATATTGTGTATTATTTGCCATAAAGTGCGCTTCATTAAATAAATACATTTAAAAATAAAAATGTAGTTTAATCCGAACACTTCTGATATTCTACATTTTATTACTCTTGCTCTTAAATACTTGGGTACTCATTTTCCTACGCTTGCTGCAATGTCTCAAAACGTACGATATTACTTTTGTCATATCTCACAAGGATCGCAATCTTCGCAGAATATCGTATTGTATTCCCTCAAACGATTCCATTCCACAATAAATCCTTTTCCACTGTCACAGCACTCAAGTTTAATTTTAAATAAATTGCCTACGTTTTAGTGAAACGTTTTTTAAATAGTAGACGATAGGACAAAAGGCTAAATGAGAAAGCTTACATCAAAGAAATGCTTCAGGCGATTAAATACATTCTGCGTAACAGCGGGCATACGTAGCTATGTAATACAAGTCCATACCTAGTAAGATAACATTAAACAACTGTACCAACTAATATAAGTGGGAGATACTCTGAACTTTTGTAGTGTTCACATAGACATTTACATTCGCAATTGAATAGAAGAGAGCCTCCACAACCAAACATGTTACAAACAGAGATACAATGTGTTTATTTATTCTTTTCAGTTGTGGAGATTGCATACGGCAGCTGACATTCCCGCTCGAGCCGCAAATTGATTTTTTACAGTAATAGCTATTTTATTTTCACAACAGTGTGGGTGCGCGGTCGCTTTTGCGGTGCTTTACCTATTTTCTCCTGTCTGTTAACTTGTATCGATACTGACCAAGTATTTAACAAATAAAACTGATTTATATTCAGATGCATAACATTTTATTGGATAATAGTAAAGCAATGTTTTAGTTTTTGTTTTTGGTTTAGACAGTGCTGGTTTTAGGTCTACCGGCGCCCTGGGCGAGATTTCTATGGCGCCTCCTTTTTACCATGCCTTTAAAGGGCAGTTTATTAGATTATATCATCATCATCCACTTGCCCTTATCCCTTACGGAGGGTCCGCACAGTATGTGCTGCTCTTCCATACATCTCTATCAGCCGTCATATCTGAATCCACTCC